CTCTCTCTCTCTCTCTCTCAAAAATAAATAAAACCTTAAAAAAATTTAAAAAAATTAAAAAATAGCATCATTTTATTTTCTCAATATAAGAGTAATGCATCACTGATTTTAAATAATGGACAGGAAAGTTTAAGAAAGTAAAATATTCACACAATGTATGTTCTTTTCTGAAATTTTTCCTTCCATTTCATATAGGGGTGCAGGGAAAATGCTGGCCCTTAATGACTGGAGGTGGGGGAAGGTGAGAGAATGGGAGAAGCAATTGGAGAGGGAGTAGAGAAAGAAAAAGAACTATTCCTCAAAGAGGGGAAAAAAAGACCAATGGACAGGGGAACAGATGCAGTTTCTCCCTGTTCACCAGAGAAAGGCAAATTCCAGCCACAAGGAGCAGCTCTCCTCAGTCTCCTGGATTGGCAGAAGAAAATGAGTGGCAGGACCTGATGTAGCGGGGAAGGAAAGGGGTGGGCGGGTTCCTGCCGCACTGCCGATGGGATGGGAGAGGTAACTGGGGTCCTGCACTCGCGGGTGACGTGGCCCTCACGTGAGCAGCAGCCGACGTTTGCCCACGTCCTTCTAATCCTGGTCCTGGTTTTGTCCGGCTACCAGCTCCCTATTGCCCTAAGGGCGGGCGGGCCAGTGGCCAGGGAAGGAGGAGGAAGTAACCGCCCGGATCCCAGCAGGTCTGTGTGTGGATGGGAGCAGCCTGGGGTGGGGGGGGGGGGGGAATCCCTACGGTGTGGGTAGCGGAGGGTGGAGACAAAGCGGACTTTCTCAACACCCTTCCACTATCCCTGGCCCTTCCAAGAACAGAAATGGTGGACTTGGGGGCCGGATTCCTGGGGACATCCCGGACCAAGAGGGAGGAAATTCGAAAACTTTGGCAGCCAGGGCCTTGAATCGGGAAGGGCAGATATTAAGATTCTAGTCCTGTGTGCATCCATCTACCAAGCCAGAATCTTGGGGCTGTGCATCTGTCATTCCCCATGTCTTTCAGTAGGGCGCTGTATACCACCCAGAGGAAAAGAGTAAAGAATCTGCTCCGAATCCCTGGAGGTCGGTGTAAAGGTGGGATCGCCCCGCGGCCCCTGGAAGGGTGGGGGATGGTTGAGGTCCTTGCCTTAACTTGGGCCCATTTCTGACTCCAGCTACCTTCCTGTTATTTTATGTAGGAAGAAGGATGTGACGGCGCCTACAGGGAAAATGGCTGTCATTGGGGGTTGGAATGCATCGGGGAGGAGGCTCTTCTTTTGCTTCTCTACTTTTCCATACTCCCTCGTCGGCCTCCTCCTTTTCTACTTGTTCGAAAGGGGTGTGGTTTTTGCTGGGAAAATGGCCGACCTCTGAGGGTGGGTGCTGCAGGAATGGGTGAGTGGACGCTGGACTTGAAGAGGGCTGATGTCAGCGGAGTCCTGAGAAGTAGGGGTAAGGATTAGAGACCAAAACATGAAATCCGTTTGACAACCAGAGTCCTGAATTTGGAAAGGCTGGTATTGAGACTTTCCGAAGTGCTGTTCTGTCCGCAAGCCGTTTGCCTCTGCCGTGTGGCATGTGTGTCTATGGACACACTTTAGGGCCAATTCAACCGTAGAAGCAGGAAGAAGACGACAATTGTCCAGAAAAAGTAGGCCAAAGTGAGGGTGGTGGCAATATTTGGGACTCCTGGGGTGGAGAAAAGTGGAGACTGCAAACCCCAGTGGCCTCATGAACCTCCTCTGCACCCCCCCTCCTTTCCTCCTCTTTATACCATTTTGGAGCGTTCAAAACAAAGTGCTCTGCAGGTATTAGACAAAGAAGGAAGTGGCTGGGGGGCGGGGCACGGGAATCCTGAAACGGGGGTGAGGAGATCTTGCTTCAAATTGCTGTTTGGAGTACTGTATCCTGGATTTGTCTCCTTCCTGCAAGCACTAAGTCCCAGAGTTCTCAGTCCTTAGGTTTAATGGGAGAGACAGAAACTGAGATGAGAGAGGAAGGAAATTGCTCCAGAGCAGTGGAAGTTGGTATAATGGGTGAAGGGAGAAGTGTCCTGGAACCTCCGTGATGCTGGAGGTGGTGGAGGGAAGGGTGAGCTCCAAAACTTTGTGCATTTTATGTCTGTCCGTCTTCCAGACAATCTCTCCACCACCATCTGATTTGTTACAGGGAAAGGGCTGTGGCATCACTTTTGAAGGAAACAACTGACTTGGGTTGGGTGAGGATAGGGTGGAGACTTGAAAGAGATGAAGGAGATGGGGAAGGATGATAATAATTTTCAAAGCCACAGCTCTGTGAGGAGGGGAGGGTGATGTTGGGGTACACAGAGCGAGGGCCAGAGATGCAGGAAAGGGATGTGTATCTATCCAGGATGAGGTCCTTCTGTCCCTTGATCATTCAGCATCCTCCTCCCCACCCATTTGTATGCAGGTTTGCAGGACCCAGTGGACTTCCAGGCAAGGAAGAGAAGGAAGAAAGTGCCTGAACCTGTATGGGTGTATGTGGGGGCGCCACTACCCCCAGGACATCTGGGGTAAGGGAGGTAGGGAAATGATTAGGTACCTTAAATTTAACATACTGGGGTGGGATGGTTGAACATGAGGTTGGAGAATCTGGACGTGGGGAAATTTTTCAAAATTACCTCCCCAATAGAGGAGAGGAATCAATGATCCAGCCCTGATTCCCTGTCATGTTCTCTACATTTGTGGGTCTGTAGTTCAGTCTGTCTGCATGCAAAGGCACAAAAAGGGAGACTGACGCCTTAAATCTTTCTTTCATTCCTAGGTTCCGCTGTACCTGTAGCTGCAGCAGGGCCTGCTGAAAACTCTCTCCCCAACATAGGAGCACCCCTCTGAGCCAGAGCAATCTCATTCTGCCCCGGTTAAGAATTCGGCTCAGACATTGTCCCCAGCATGGGCCGTACTCGGGAAGCTGGCTGCGTGGCCGCTGGTGTGGTGATTGGGGCTGGCGCCTGCTACTGTGTATATAGACTGACCTGGGGAAGAGATGAGAATGAGAAAATCTGGGACGACGATGATGAAGATGATGAGGAGGAATCTAGTGATATTGTAGAGACTAGGATTGAGAATGGGAAAGGAGCTAAAGCTAATGCTGGGATGGGGTCTGAAGCTAGACTTCAGGGTGATTCAAAGGTGAAGGCTGAGGTGGGCATGGTACTTGAGAGTGGTTCAGATGTAAAGGCAGAGGTCCACTTGGGGCCCCAGAGTGGAGGAAGCCTAGAGGCCAAGGCCAAAGCCCTTTTCAGCACCCTGAAGGAACAGGCAAGTGCAAAGGTGGGCAGGGGAGCCAGGTTGGGTACCATCTCTGGGAACAGGACCCTTGCACCCAGTTTACCCTGCCCAGGGGGCAGGGGTGGAGGCTGTCACCCCACCAGGAGTGGTGCTAGGGCTGGGAGTAGGGCAAGTGGAAAAACCAAGGGAAGAACCCGAGGTAAGAGCACCAGGACTCCAGCTACAGCATGGCCTGTTCGTAGGGGCAAGTTCAACTTTCCCTATAAAATTGATGATATTCTGGGTGCTCCTGACCTTCAAAAGGTTCTTAACATCCTGGAAAGATCAAATGATCCTTTTATTCAAGAAATAGCCTTGGTCACTCTGGGTAACAATGCAGCATATTCTTTTAACCAAAATGCCATTCGTGAATTGGGTGGTCTTCCAATTATTGCAAAACTGATAAAAACCAAAGATCTTATTATTAGGGAAAAAGCTTACAATGCCCTTAATAACTTGAGTGTGAATGCTGAAAATCAGGGAAAGATTAAGACCTATATCAGTCAAGTGTGTGATGATACCATGATCTGCCGCTTGGACTCAGCTGTGCAGATGGCCGGACTAAGACTGTTAACTAACATGACTGTGACTAATCATTACCAACATTTGCTTTCCTATTCTTTTCCAGACTTTTTTGCATTGTTATTCCTGGGAAATTACTTCACCAAGATTCAGATTATGAAACTAATTATAAACTTTACTGAGAATCCAGCCATGACAAGAGAGCTGGTCAGTTGTAAAGTACCATCAGAATTGATTTCCCTCTTTAATAAAGAGTGGGACAGAGAGATTCTTCTTAATATCCTTACTCTATTTGAAAATATAAATGACAACATAAAAAGTGAAGGACTTGCATCATCTAAGAAAGAATTCAGCAGAAGTTCACTTTTTTTCTTATTCAAAGAATCTGGAGTGTGTATTAAGAAAATCAAGGCATTAGCAAATCACAATGATCTGGTAGTGAAAGTAAAAGTCCTAAAAGTATTGACCAAACTTTAATTGGGTGTATGTCCCAAACAATATCGAGATAATTGTTTAGTTTGCACTTGGGAACAATGCATTTTGTAAATTCTTTGTTTGCCATTGTGCTTACATGGCAAAGAGATCCTTTCAGCTGCCATTTTGGAATAATGAATATCAAGGATCATCAAGAGTGATGATGGTTGTGGTGGTTGGTTTTAGGCTGTACCATTTTAAGGATGCCAAATGAATACTAGAGCTTGTATAAAGAAAGCACTTATCGATTCCATCTTGCTACCTAGACTGAAGTATTTTTTGCTTTTTCTTTTACCTAATTTGACAGCAAACTAATTATAAATAAGCTACACTTTTGTATTGGTTTACATTTGTTAATCTTAGACTTGTGTTTCATCAATAAAGTTGTGTGTTTTAACCAGAAAAAAGTATTGTGTCCCTTGAGTTTATGATTTAGAAAGGCAAAATGTATCGAGACAAAATTATCCTAACAAAACCACGAACCTCTGATCATGGCCACACCCCTCCCATCAGTGCAAAAACTTCTGTAGGCAGCAGTGCTCAGGGAAAATTTTATAGAGAAGGGAGGCACTTAAGTAAGCTGAGCTTGAAGGATAGGATAAAAATGGGGATGTTTTGAGAATGACTGGTGACTTGGGAGACAACTTTTGTGTTCTGTTAAATATTGTCATAGCACAAAGTAGCACTACTATATTCACTGATCATAAATAAGATAACTTCTTTCCCACATAGTTTGGGATCTCCAAAGTTATGATGCATCTTACAGTTGATGGCATCTTAGCATTGTGCCATACTTTAATTAGAAGTATTTTTTTCCTTTTGTAGTGGTACATAAAATAATGATGCATCTAATAATCAAAGGCATCTTAGATCAATGAAATTCTAGTCAATGAGAAAAATGTAAAAATGTATTTAATACATAAAGGATGTATTTGCTCCATAATAAGTACATCATTTTGTACTGATAGAGGTTTTGCAGTAGTTTGAGTTAGGAAACTGGCAGAGGGTTGAGGGGGAGTCATCAGATTCCCCTTACTGAAGGAATGTTTTTATTTATTTATTTATTTATTTATTTAGACCGTTCATATCATCTTCATTCACAATAGCCTCAAACAGGAAACAAATGACCATCAACGGTATAATAGATAAAGTGTGCTATATTTACATGCTACACAGCAAGAAGGAAGAACGCATGCTGCTATATGTGGCAATATGAATGACTCACACAAATATAATGTTGAATAAGCCAGATTCAAAAGAACATTTATCATGTGATTCCATTATATGAAATTCAAGAATAAGCAAAACTAATATATGGTGATAGGAATAAGACCAGTGGTTACTTTGGTGAATGATTGGGAAGGTCATGAGGGAACCTTCTGGACAGTTGGAAATGACCTATATCTCAATTTAATTGGTGCTTACACAGGTGTCAACATCAAGGGAATGGGTGCTGTTGTATGACTACCGTATTCATATTACAGATTGTGATTTGGAGCCAACAAAGCAACATTATCAATCTCAGTAATGTTAATTTAAATTTTCTTAATTTTGTGGCTTGGTTTATTTTTATTTTCTGAAGTTTTTTTTTGTTTTGAACTTTATGTAAGAGTTAGGGTTGGTAGAATATGCCACTTTGGCATAAGGATTATTTTGAGCTAAAAACATTTGAAAAAATAGGCACAGGAAGGCAGGAGATAAAAACCTTAAGTAATCTGTTTTGTCTCTTAAAGTCCTCATATGAGTAAGGGAAGGGAAACAGAAATAATATAAAAACAGGGAGGGGGA